ATCATGGTGTGAAAGTAATTTCCTGTGTGTTCTAGAGCTATATCATTGAAGTCTGTCAGGTCCTTCCAAACTAAACAGATTTAAAGTAAGAATCTGGAACATAAAAACCTAATAAATGTGAAGAGGCTCATTACCCCAGGGTGGACCTTTACATGTGAAGTTTTTCTGTGACAGCAATGGAAGGATCGTGGGCTAAGGCATTGAATGGTTGAAATTTGCATCAGTGGGAGGATTATCCACACAAATGAGCTTATAGATTCTTTAAATATTGACATAAATACATATATATCAAGGAGTTGTGATTTGTTTGGTGGCTCCAGGTAGCTCTCCTGGTGTGGGAATTCCTTCTACTGATGGAGCTGACAACCAGATTGTATCAGAAAGCCTTAAAGAACTGCTTAAAGAGTTCACATAGCCAGTATCAGAGGTTCTCTCCCCTATGTGTATATCTCTCCATATATGTATGTAACATATATGTTTTCCCTTAAAACATACTTAAATGAAAAAAAGGAATGGTAAGAAAAGTGAGAAATTTTAAAAATTTGTCTTCATTTGCCTTAGAAACTGAAGATGAGACAAATATGTTATTTTATAACTTCTTACATTTAATTATATGATCTTGGAAAATATAAAATAGAGCTAAACCAGTATCCACAGAATTTTAGAACTAAAAGGAACCTTAGAAGCCAGAGGCCAGCACACAAATGAAAAGAATCCCCACTATAATGTCCTTGACAAATGGTCTACTAAAGGCCTTATTTTGAAAACTTCCAATGAAGTGGAATCTACCACTTCATGAAGCAACCCATTCTACTTTTGGATGGCTGTGATGGGAAGTTTTTCCTGACATCAAGACTGAATTTTCTTCTTGTTAACTTTAACTCATTGCCCCTGATTCCACCATTTGGGGACAAGCCTGAAGAAATATAATGATCCCTATTCCGTTCTTGCCTATTCTATTGCTGAAAGGAATGAAGTTGGAGGAGGTGGAAAAAAAGGTAAGATGTTCCAGAGAGACATTTTGTAACAAAGTCAAGGGATAGAGAATACTCATCTGAACTTGTCCAGATCTACATTCCTCTTTGTTTGATGCTGGGATCTATCCTTAAGTGAAAAGATACAGTGTAAAGGCAGATGTGAAACTTTGGACAATTATACCAGTAGGCATCAACTGTTTGCCTCTGTGGGTGGTGGCACCAACCTGCAGTGAAAAGTGTAAGAGATAGAGACAGAGACACAGAGAGGCAGACAAGGCAGACAGATGCATAATATCCTAAGTCTGAAGTCTAGTAGTTATATGTGAATGGGAATACCCTTTTCATTTGGCTAAGAAAATGACATCTGTTTGGGTAAGGTCCTTGAAAGCAAGAATTTTCATTTGTTTTCTTACTTTATAGCATGATGCCTGGTACATAATAGAAGTTTAATAAATGTCTGCTGTTTGATTGCAAAGTTCCTAAGTGAGCAAGGATGAAATGGGGGAAAGTTAGTTTCAAATAAGCATTGTCCTAGTGCCCTGAGCTTGCCTTTCTCCTTCTGGTTTTGCAGGATATGCTCTATAGACTCTCTGCTACATTCAAAGACATGTTATTGGTGGCTTCTTTAGTGGGAAAGCCAGTGTTCAAACCCTGCATAAGCCCACCTAGCGCTTCTCCAGGTAAGTTGCTGTGAGAGACAGAGCAGAGATTCAGGCTGCAAAGAGAAAAGGATAAGCAAGCAAAGTTTGTCTTTGGTGCCTCCAGCTATGTTTTTCCTGGGCTCTTAAGCTATATCTTCTCCACCCCTTGTTCCAGCCCCTCTTCTCTGTGTCTTCATACTCCTGTCTCTGGTTTCCCATCAAAATCAGTTACCAGAAAAGGATCTGATAGACTCAGTAATAATGATAAGTTTTTGCATGAAGACAAAGTTTAATGTTTTATCCTTCCCAAGGGTATTTACATTTTAATAGAAGAAGCCTCCAGCCAAAAGAAAGACTCTATGGAGTTTCAGGCTTCAGTCAACCATTTGGAGAGACTCTGTGTGTGTGTGTGTGTGTGTCTGAGTGTGTGTGTGTGTGTGTGTGTGTGTGTGTGTGAGAGAGAGAGAGAGAGAGAGAGAGAGAGAGAGAGAGAGAGAGAGAGAGTGGGGGACATAATAATTCTTGGCACTACTAAAATCACACCCTAGCAGTGACCACTGGCAGCCTACTAACCTACTCTTCAGGTTGGTCCTGCCTGGTCTGATTGTTCCCTGTGTGTGACTTTTCTTATAAAATGTATGCCACTGTTAGACTGAAATCATTCTAAAGATTTCTAATACCTGGTGTGGATTATATTTGTTTATTACACTTTACATGGACATGACCTTCACCTGTACATAATTCCATCCCCTGTCTTCTGCAGCACCCTATCCCGTCAGTATTTGTGTAGCCAGCTTATACTCACTGATTGTTGTTTCTACTACTGCATGTATGTCTCCTAAGTGGGGTGTAAATTCCTTAAGAGTAGAGAGAGTATCCTTCTATATTTTTTCTTTTCCTTCCTGGTTCAGGACTCTGCAACATAGTGTTGTGGAAAGGGCATTAGGCTGACAGCCAGAATTATCTATGTTACAATCCTGGTTCTGCCACTAACTACCTGGTTGACCTTGTGTAGGTCACTTTCTTCTAGACTTTATTTCTCCCTCTCAAAAATGAGAGATTCAGCGTAGTTGACCTCTAAAGTACTTTCTTGGTTTATGATACTATGAGATCATAGACCTTTTGAGTGAATTAACTTTATTTTAAAAGACCATTTATTTATTTGTTGAATTTTTTATGGATGTCTTTTGTTCTTACATCAGTCTACCTTTTCTACCCCTTGTAACAAGCAAAAACAGCTAAGCAAAGCCAACAGACTTACAGTGTATGTATGCAATGCTGAATTTACTTCCAGAACAACAACAATGAAACAAAACAAACCTAAGACTAAAAACAAAACTCAAGGAAATTCAGTAAAACAACCAAAGCCTTCTGGTCTACATGACACCAAACAGCTATTTGGGTTAAATTTCACTTTTCAACTGGTTACTCCAGCATTATATAGACCCAGCCTAAATGGAATAGTGTCTGACTGACTGTCTGCCTTCCAGCTCATATGAAAATGCAAGGACTTCATTTAGGCAGGCTGTCTATGATTTTAAAGGTCAGATTATTGTATTGCTTTGCTTTTAATATCCAATCCAATTCATTTCTGCCATTTACTTAATGCCAAAGTAATACTAAGGTTGGTGGTACATGAAACCAAAACAGCTAGCTGATTTGCTAAGTGCGTTCAAATTGTCAATTCAGGAGAAAAAAAAAGACTGATCATTTACTCTTTTGCAGACAGAAAGTTCCAAATTGTTGTTTATTTTGGTCAGTTCACATTCAAGTACCATAACTTCCCTATCCCTGAAATGAGAATGATGCTGATAGTTCCTCTCCATCCCCTCATCTGCCTCATCTAACTACCTTCCTGGAAGGATTGTTGGGGTTGATGGACAACTAGCTAAAACTACTTCTTTCCTTCAAACCTCAGCTCCATGCTGGAACACCTTGTTCCATGCTGGTTTGAGAAAGCTCAACAGAGAAAGGTGAGAAACAAGCCTATTGTTCACAAAAGTGCTTTTTGATCCTAAGATGAAAGGTGCAGCTGTTTACAAAAAGGAAAATGGTTATGACTCAAATCTTGATTAACTGACTACTTGGGAATGGCATGTTCTGGTTAAGAGAATTTTCTGAAATAACTGAGGGTCAATTACTAAGTCCCTTTTTTTACTTTTAAATTTTTATTGGTACCTTTTGAATTTATATCACCATTATTTCTGAATATATTCCTGCCCACTTGCCTACCCACTGACCCAACCCATGTAAGAAAGATTTTCGAAAGAAAGCAGGGAAAGAGCAATTCCGCAAAATCAACACATTGAATGCATTTATTGGTATAGGCAATATTCTTCATCAATAGTCCTTGAACTTTGCCTGAAATCTTGTTGATGAAATACTTTTTCAATGCAAAAATTTATTTTCTGACCAGAAAAAGTAGTCCAGAGATGTGTGCTGGGCCACATGGCATAGATCAGCCAAGTATATAAATTCTCTACTGAGGATGACTCGGTGCTTCATAGGCATGGGTTGCAGCTCAGGGAATGGGACTCTGGGAATCATGGAGGAGAGGATCAGGCATGGGAGACAAGAGAGGAGGTGTCAGTTTTTTAAATGTTTGTAAGTTTTTAAAAACTAAGGACTTTTGATAAAGCTTTTTGGACCAGTAAAATATTTTCTGCATACTGACCAGTGCCATCACTGCAATTTAATGTAATCTTTCTTTGATGACAGGATTCTCAATGACAGGATTTTCAATGACTATGGGCAATCACTTGTGAACCATGAAATCTGCCAAAGGGGAAAGGAGATATTGGACTGAATTTGTAGGGAGCCCAAGACATTAAACAAACCTGTGATTTTTTTGTTACAGAAATAATACTTATGCTTGTATAACACTTCATAGAGCATTCAAACTGCTTTACTTTCACACACATCTCATTTTATCCTTATAACTCTGTAGGGAAGATATTATCTTAGTTTTATAGAGAAGAAAACAGAGGCAGGTTAAAAGACTTGTCAAAGGCGAAACATGGAATTGGAGCCAAACATGGATTTAGCTTAGATTTTCTACCTCTTAGATGAGTTCTCTTTCCATCATACGGTGGCTTCACTCATCCCAAACTTCAAATACTTTTAAATACCAAACCTTTAACCATCTTAAAATGAACTCTTTACTAATAGCCTAATAACAGAAGGAAACATTTCCATCTTCATCTTCATAAAAAGTCTAGGAAAGTTATTTGAGTGGCAATATTCCCTTAGGTGTTGAATTCCATTAGATATAGGAGAAAAATAGGTGACATTCCCAAATGGTGGGTTTTTTTTAACCTCTTCACAAATTCTACAAGCAAAGGAAGCAAATAAGAGAGAAAAGTAACTGGAACAATCAACCCACCTTGCTAATATTCCAACAATGAGGAAGATGTGTATGAATAAGTACAAAACAGGTCACTGAAAAAAAGAATGGGTCAGAGAAGGAAGGTTCAGTTTACTTTTTCTGTTTCTTTGGAGTTTGTAGTCTGAAAGTCCAGAAGGAATTTAAATAAATGCACTGAAGACTGGTGAGCTTGATCATATGTATTTCCTCAAAACATGTTTTCTTTTTAATAAATACATTGCCTTTCAGCTTACACACACACCCATATATACACAATAAGTAGAAGCATATATATATATATGTTTGTGAATATACACACACACATACACATACATATATATACATACACACACATTTCTGGTTTTGTTCTAGCAGGGTCCAGAGCTGGATAGTGTGTTTTAGGGATAACATAATTAGTATCTAATCATTCTAAAAGCATATAACACATTTTCTCTTAGGCTCAGGGAAGCTATTCCAATTTATTGTTTCCCTTTCCTTGTGTTCTTGTAAGTTGGAGTCATTAAAAATGTTTTCCTTTTTACATAAAGTGTTTTGTGTGTGTGTGTGTGTGTGTGCGTGTGTGTGTGTGTGTGTGTGTGTGTGTGTGTGTGTGAGAGAGAGAGAGAGAGAGAGAGAGAGAGAGAGAGAGAGAGAGAGAGAGAGAGATGAGATGGAATATGTAGAAAGCTACTTACAAAAAAGCAATCAGATCAACTAGATCATTAAAAAGTACACATGAAGGTCACACCTAAGGTTGAGAAAGTTGCATTTGCAGGGTTTATTGTACTTACATTTAAAACAACATACAAGTGCAGAAAGAAAGGCTGGAAGGAAAAACAGAAAGCCACCAACCAACATATTCTGAAAAGGTTTTCCAGCAGTAAGGAGATGATATATTTTATTTATCTGGACCAGTTTTCTTCTGCCACTACATTTGAAGCCACTGATAAACTCAACTTCATGAAATTAGAAAAGGCAAGTGTGAGAGGCAATGGGAAAGGCTGGTGGCATACCTGGATAGAAATGAGAATTCTTCACCGTTACACAAACTTTCAGGCAATTTTGTGACCTGAATCTCCAAGCTGGGTGTCCTGTTTAAAAAAAAAATCACACCTGTGCTTCAAATTGCGTGTAATGTGGATTCATCAGAACAAGCCAAATCACAAAGTTTGACTGAGAATGTCCCCCTCCTCTCCTGTTTACCTCCCACCCCCATTTTAAAGATATTAGTCAGATTTTTCTTTTTCTGTTTTTTCCTCTGTTGTTGTTTTCTGATTATTTCCATCTGGTTGACATAACTAGAACTAGAGAGTATACTACTGTAAAAAAAGACACAAAACAAAATCTTGAAGGCTTTCTCTTCGCAACAGATTTCAGATGACAATATGTCAAAGATACTGATAGAGGAAGCTGGTAAATGGGGGAGGGGAGAAGGGGAAAATCAGACACTCTGAGCCCAAAGGTGAGAATGAAACAAACTTCCAGGCACCTGCATCTTTCTCCTTGTGTCTCCTCCCTAAGGTTCTCAGGAGATCAGCAACTTGGTGAAGGTTGGGAGGGGGCTACATGACCCAGAGCTGTCCATTTCTGCTTCTCCATTCCGATGTATAAAAAAAGAGCCGGGCCCATCTGGAATAGCAAATGGTGCAACTGGGGGGGGGAGAGGGTGAGGGGAGGAGGAGAAGGAGAAGGAGAAGGATTAGATTGAAAACAGATCAGTTGGTGGATTTCTGCTCTGGAGATCATCTGACTTGAGTTAGCTACAACACCCCACCCCCCTCGTTTTTTTAAAAAAAAAGTGAGGGAGAACACTTTCTTTCTTCTTTCCTTCCTTCCTTCCTTTGTCTTCTTCTTCTCTCCTTTAACTTTTCCTCTATGGCACACCACACCCTTTATTTTTTCTGTGTTGGGAAGGAAAAAGCTTCTTCACTCCCCTACCCCTCCTCCACCTCTCATCCTGCCCTGCTGGGCCTCCTAAACTTCAGCCAGTGTGTGTCTGTGTGAGTGAGGAAGTGTGTGTGCCTGTGTTGTATGCGCGAGCCCGAGTGCTGTGTGTGTGTGTGTGTGTGTGTGTGTGTGTGTGAAAGAGAGAGAGAGAGAGAGAGAGAGAGAGAGAGAGAGAGAGAGAGAGAGATGTCTGTCTATATCTTAGATGTAGATGATGGATAGCAGAAGTGCAGGAATGAGCCAGCAACAGCAGCAGACTTTAAAAAAAAAACTCCCATCAATGAGACTTCGGGGAGGCGGGGAAGGAGGAGGAGGAGAAAGAAGGAGGAGGAGAAGGAGGAGGAGGAGGGGAGCGGGAGGGAGGAGGAGGAGGAAGAAGAGGAGGAGGAAGAAGGAGGAGGAAGAGAAGAGGGCAGGAGTAGCGCGGCAGCCTCGGCGAGAGGGCGAAGGGAAGACAGTAGGATCTTCCACGCCCGCCCCCCTCCCCGGTTCCCTCCTCCCCCGCCCCCGCCCCAGTGATACCCCCGCCTTCTAGCCACCCAGCCAGCCAGCTTGCCTCGGATCGCACAGCAAAGTTGGGATGGGGGGCAGGAGCTGCAGCCCTACGCCAGAACAGACACCTGCATTATAGAGCAAACTTTCCTCTTCCTTGGTAAAGTTACATTTGTCTTTTTCTTTCTTTAAAGAAAAAAAGAAAAGGAAAAAAAAAGCCTTTCATTCTGTTTCCCCGGCAGTGTCCGGGCAAGGCGGGGGCAGAAGAGCGCATGGAAGGGATGCTGCATTTCCCCAAAGGGCGCTCGGGCTAGGCGGCCCCGGCCCTCTGAGCCCTCCTCAGCCCCTCCGCTCCTGCAGGTATAGGGCTGTAGGGGACCGGAGTAGAGAGGGAGGGAGCCGGGCAGGAGGGAGCTGAAGATTGCTCGGGGGGAAACTTTGTTGTGTGTTCTTTCGGGGCTCCGGAGTGCTTAGGGCTAGGGTTACGCTGGGCAGCGGGGAGCTGAAAAAATGGAAGGGGGTCTCGGAGTTGAAATTCTCGGACGACGTGCATCGATGTGAGAGGGGTGGTCTGTTCCCCCCTTCACTGCGGGCCAGTTTACTTCTCCCCCCCAAAATTTTTTTTTAAATCCCTTTTCTGAGAAATTAGAAAATCGGGGAGGGGAAGCTTTCATTTATCATCAGACCTATTCCTTAAAATGCAACTTCTCCTGGAAGACACCTCCAAACCAAGCCCTCAGCCGCTTAAGCCCTAAGGGTTGCTGTGTCTGTGTGGGGTTTTTGTCTTGGAGAAGAAAGTGGGATTGGAGGTTTGGGGAAATATCTCCCTCTCCTCCTCCCCCTTACTTTCTAAGGTGATGCAGTCGTGGAGGGCGGGGGGAGAGAGGAGAGGGGCCGAGAAACTTGGAGCTTGTGACGCGGGGATGGTTTGGAGGATCTGCAGCAAGACACTTGTGTGCAGACTTTTAGCAGAAACTTCTTCGCATTTTACCAGCCCCCAGACCTTCCCCCTCCCTTTCTCCCTGCTTGTCTCTCCTGCTTTCTTTCTCTTTCAGACTGCTTTCCTTTCCCAAAGAAATCTGGATGGACCTGGCCATTCAACCCCATTCCGTACTATCCTGCTCGCTCGCTCTCTCTCTCTCTCTCTCTCTCTCTCTCTCTCTCTCTCTCTCTCTCTCTCTCTCTCTCTCTCTCCCCCTCTCCCTCTCCCTCTCCCTCTCCCTCCCCCTCTCCCTCCATCCAACTTTCCTCCCTTTTGCCCCCATTCCCCTTCCACCTTTCCCACCCCCGGGAGGGGCAATCTTTCAACAAGTATATTTGCTAAGGAATTTGAAAAATCCACTACTGCAACTTGATCTCTGTGTGATGGGGAGAGGCTTGGAGAGAGCTGGGCGCCAATCCTATTAAGGATTTAGAGAGTTGAGTTTTCCCTGGACCTTGTGGCTTTAAGACAATTGTGGGGAGAGGAAAGTGCGTGTGTGTGTGTGTGTGTGTGTGTGTGTGTGTGTGGTTGTTGGGGGCGTGTGTGGCGGGTTATGTATGGGGAGGGGAAGGGGGGGAGAGGAAGGGGAGAAAAGGGTGGGAAGAGAAGAAATGCTAGGAAAGCCAGCCCAACTGGGCGCCTTTTTTTTTCCTTCGAGTAATTGCTGTCATTTCCTAGGAAACCTGACTTTACTGCGAGAGAGATTAGGACGAATCCCCTTACTCTCTTAACCCCGCCTCTCTATCCCTAAAGGTTCAGAGAGGAGAACTCTTGCCTGAAATCCAAGACAGTGTTCTCTGAGCCCTAGGTTTACGAAAGATTTTTTTTTCTTTTCATAGAAACGAACACTAGTTGGAAAAGTGGGGAATGTGCTGTCAGATAGTCCCCAAGGCTCTCAGGAATCAAGTCTATACAATTGACCTAAATATGGAATGTATTTGTACACGCATCCACATCCATCCCCACTCCCTACCTCACCTAGTGTGCATACTTATTGCTGAAGGATATTGAAAAATCTATCCCCCCTTGTGTAAGAGGACCCCTCTCCCCCTTGTTGAGTTTGTGAAGTTTTAATCCTGACAGCTTCTGATAAAGGGAACAGTTGTAAAACGTTCATATACTGTTTGCCGATGAGGCTCTTGGGGGTGTGCAAGAATTTGAAAGTAAACGTTTCCCTCGCTCGCTGCATAAAATAGTGTTTAAACAAATATTGTATTGGCATGCTCTGGGGGCTTGGTGCCAAAAAAGTAAAGTAAATAAACCGTGAAATCCAAAATATACAGCAGTGAAAGGCAGTGGAATAGGCTGATTTGTCATAAGTCTCACTGATTTGATCTGTTTGTTCTAGCTACCTAACATAAAAGGGTTTTCTTCTTCTTCCCCCCCCCCCCACTAGCACTGATTTACTTAGCTTTGCTGGGGGCTTCCTTTTACTCTGTCCTTTTTGACTGCGAACAGAATCCCTGTGTAGCCAGGGTTATTAGCTCTACAATTATTCCATTTGGAGAAATTTGTTTTATAGTAAGAGGAAGGACTGGGGACTTGTGTTTAGGTGAAACTACCTGATAGTTTTGAGAGTATGGATCTTAAGGTTTCCAGATGCCTGGATGATTGGAACCATGCAATTTATTTTAATTTATTTTATTTATTTTAAACCATACAAAAATGTACTGCTCCTCTTCATTTCTTCACCCATTTCTTCCTCTGCCTTCTGCTTCATCTTCCGCTTCTTTTCTTTATTTTATCAATTTGGAGCAATAGGAATTTCATATATATATATATATATATACACACACACACATATATATACATATATGTGTATATATATACACATATATACATATATATGTGTATATATATAGATAGATATATATGTGTGTATATATATACATATATACATATATATATATATATATGCAGATATGTGTATTATGTTATCCTCAAGAGTTTAAAATCCATCCAGATGCCACCACATGATTTCCAAATGTCATCCGTTTGGAGAATTTTAAGAAGAATAAGTTTGAGGGGAGAGGGGGGATTTTTTTCTCAATTGAAGAACAGACAAATTTCAGAAAGTTATCTAGTAATTCAGTAGTTTTTTTTAAGCATGCTATTCCCCTTGGATCATGATTCATGCCTTGTCTGTTGTGACATGTATTCCTGCCAAAGAGATTACTCCTAAGTAAAGTGGTGTTTTACCTCTACCCATTTCACATACTTCATAAGAACAATCACCAATGTAGTTTTGAAGTGACCAGACTGTGGGCTACACCTCATGGAATCCCTCACCTGAAAGATGATGACATCCAGTTTGCTCTTTTTACAAAGTAGGTCAGTGGGGAATGGTTTCAAATAGGAAATTACAATTTCTTCTTCCAGAGGAAGAATTTAAAAGCAATTATGCTGAAGCCTCTAAATTTTTTTTTTGAAGTGAATTTAGTTTAGACATGTCTGTGCTTCTCAGTACTGAATTTTGGAACCTGTAGTTTATTTTTCATGTGAGGGATAAATTTGATTCTAAAAACCCACTTGATGTGGTTGAGACTTGAAAAGTGATTGGAATCTTAGTCCAAGGTCATTTTAGTCTTCCTCTCTGGATCACACTGAACCTGAACATGCTCTCAGAGTGCAATGTTTGGTTTATCCAAGCTGTCCATGAAGTTGGGAGAAGCTGCTTCATTCCGAGGTGGATTTTCTTTTGCAATGGAATGCCACTCCATTTACTTATACATCCTCAAGTCCCATTTCGGGAAAGAGAAGCCTTTTCAGGGCCCAGTGGAATGAGTGGACCTGAAGGGTCTGTCGGGTAGTTGCTTATTGATTGGCTCTTCAGATAGTTGATGTCTTGGGTACTGTAGCTGAGTTGTTTGCACTGCAGACTGAAAGATACACAAATACTTCATGCTTTTTGTATTCCCACAAGTGCCCTGTACACAGTGAAGTCACCCAGTGCTGGATTAGCGAAACCAGTGGATTCAACAGGCAGGCAGACAAAACTGGATATTTGCCTAATAAACACCTTTCTAGTGTTTCTTCCCAGAGAAACCTCCACTGAATAGACACAAGAGATTCCCTTTAAATGGGTCTGAAAAATTATAATATATACTTTTTCAGTGCAATCTGAACATACCTGTCTGGCTTGTTAATGCTCAAAACCATAGCCTTGGAATTTTATTTAGCAAGGGATGGGAACACTTGGCTTTTCCTGGGCAAAAGTTTGAGCTTTGGTAGTATGTTTGTTGCATCTATGTTGCACTTTAAGGAGATGGGGCAAAAGAATTTTTGTGAAAGAAGTATAGCATGTTGATGGATTTTCTACCTGTAAAAAGACTTC